GTATAATACATTAAGTGAAATTATATTCAATAAAAAGCGGCTTTTTATAGATATTATATTAGAGTAACCAATACTCTCTGATTTGCCTAGCACTTATAATATATTGATAAATATATAGTATCTACTATAACTATTTATGTTTAATTCTGCATGTTTGTCAAAGGCCCTGACAAAAGTCAAACTCTCTTTTATCCACTAAGTTCTCACTATGTTTTATATGTGATAATTTTCTTTAAATGACCATATTTTTTCCCTGATATTATTTTTATCATTCATTGTACATCTTTGGGCTTCTATCCCCATCAGAATTCAACATCTCTTTCTCTTTCTGCTGAGAGCCCACTTACTTATGAACTGATGACTAGATTGCAGCACTGTCTTGGTAGCTTCATTGTTCAACAGTCGCACTTGCGTCTAGAAGACATGCTTCCTGTAGCACGAAATCGGCTGGACCGCGGATATCAGCATCGCCGCGTTAGAAAGTCACCTCGGTCTGCAGTTCAAGCTGTCAGTGATGTGCCCGAATATGAACCAGCTTCACGGCCAGTAAGCAGACGCGACCGTCTTAGCTGGCTTTCAACCCATAGCTGCGGAAAAGTAACGCAGACGACACAAGGCATCTGGCCTCGTCATGTCAGTCAACCTGCAATCGCTAAAGTATCGCAATCACCTAGGCCCATGAGGTCATCGCCTTCGCCACGGGACTCGAATGAGTTAACTTGTGAGCTTCAGCAAAATACTCATCAGGAGGAATTTGGTCTAACCTCCCGTCCAGATAGGCTGAGCGAGCCTGAATATGAGACAGATGAATTGGATCTAAGATTAGTCGCTTGTCTACAACTAGACCGACTTTGGCGATCGATTCGTAAGTACGGAGCTTGCACTTTCAGAATTTAAATATTTAACTATTTTATAGACATTTTCTTTGTTTATCTTTAATTTTCTATGTAAATTTAGCAGAATACCTATTATGTACGCTTGCTTCATCAATATTTGCTATGATGGGAGATGAATTAAAATATATGTGGATATATATATGCATTACCGCAAACCGGACTACTTCTGTTTGTTTAACTTTTATTATGATTTATTTACACCCGAGAAAAGCTTGATTTTGTTGTTGGGTGCGAACAGGCTGATTTAATCTTTATTCTTTTAGCATAAAAAATCTCTTCCATGCTTAATCAAACGTGTGAGAATTAAGTCCTGTTGCTGGCGTACTGGTCGCAGGCTCCGTTCACTACACAAATGTGGTTTGACCTCGTTGTCAGATCCATCTAGATAAACGCACCTTATTTGGAGTCCTTTACCATGATATTTATGATAATTTTCAGCGTCAGAAAATAGACTTGATGAATTCTGACGCTGGAAATTACTATAATTATTATGAAAGAGGAATTTGAAAACTGTTCCTTTATCTAGGTTCCCCTGGCGACATAACTAAGTTTCGAAAACTAAATCAAACCACTTAAATATCTTCAAATTTGTGTGCATCACAGGAATTATTCATATAATTGAGGTGAACTCAGCTGGCCGAAAAGGCAATCTGAAAACAGTATTAATTTAGAAGTTGTTTGACTTTTTATCAACTTGTCTCGGTAAAACAAAAGGACTAGATCAAGGAAATATGGTTGATTAGAGGAATAGAAATAGCAATAAGAGCAAGGAAGAGGAATCAGAAACAAAGAGGAAATGTCTACAATGAGTCAATTCAAACCACGTAGAATATAG